CTTTCCCCTCTGCCGATCGGGCTAATCTACATGCCTCCGTCGAAGGAGGCATGTAGTCTAGACACACCCCTAGTGAGATAAATAGAAAGAAGCATAAACACTGCCAAATTAAGTGTAAAAATGTAATAAAAAAAGCCAAAAAGGAGTTTGAAGAACAGCTAGCAAAAAAAAAAAAAACACACACAAAATAATAACAAATGTTTTTTAAGTACATCAGAAGCAGGAAGCCTGCTAAACAATCAGTGGGGCCCCTGGACGATCGAGATACAAAAGGAGCACTTAAAGATGATAAAGTCATTGCAGAAAAACTACATGAATTCTTTGCTTCAGTCTTCACGGCTGAGAATATTAGGAAGATTCCCAAACCTGACCTGTCCTTTGTAAGTGACAAATCTGAGGACTTGTCACAGATTGAAATGTCATTAGAGGAGGTTTTGGAATTAATTGATAAACTTAACAGTAACAAATCACTGGTACCGGATGGCATTCACCAAAAGGTTCTGAAAGAACTCAAATGTGAAATTGCGGAACTATTAACTATGGTTTGTAACCTATTCTTTAAATCAGCTTCTGTACCCAATGACTGGAAGATAGCTAGCGTAACACCAATATTTAAATAGGGCTCTAGAGGCAATCCCGGCAGTTACAGACTGGTAAGTCTAACGTCAGTACCGGGCAAATTAGTTGAAACAATAGTAAAGAATAAAATTGTCAGACACGTAGAAGAACATAATTTGTTGGGCAAAAGTCAACATGGTTTCCGTAAAGGGAAATCATGTCTTACTAATCTATTAGAGTTCTTTGAAGGGGTCAACAAACATGTGGACAAGGGGGGGTCCAGTAGATATAGTGTATTTAGATTTCTAAAAAACCTTTGACAAGGTCCCCACCAAAGGCTCTTACATAAATTAAGTTATCATGGGATAAGAGGGAAGATCCTTTCATGGACTGGGGACTGGTTAAAAGACAGGAGACAAAGGGTAGGAATAAATGGTAAATTTTCAGAATGGAGTGGTGTTCCCCGAAGGTCAGTCCTAGGACCAATCCTATTCAACTTATTCATAAATGGTCTGGAGAAAGGGGTAAACAGTGAGGTGGGAAAGTTTGTAGATGACACAACTGTTCAAGATAGTTAAGACCAAAGCAGTCTGTGAAGAACTTCAAAAAGATCTCACCAAACTAAGTGACCAGGCAACAAAATGGCAAATGAAATTTAATGTGGATAAATGTAAAGTATTGCACATTGGAAAAAATAACCCCAACTATACATATAATATGATGGGGGCTAATTTAGCTACAACTAAACAGGAAAGAGATCTTGGAGTCATCATGGATAGTTCTCTGAAGACGTCCACGCAGTGTGCAGTGGCAGTCAAAAAGCAAACAGGAAGTTAGGAATCATTAAAAAAGGGATAGAGAATAAGATGGAGAATATCTTATTGCCCTTATATAAATCCATGGTACGCTCACATCTTGAATAATGTGTACAGATGTGGTCCCCTCATCTCAAAAAAGATACACTGACATTAGAAAAGGTTCAGAGAAGGGCAACTAAAATGATTAGGGTTTTTGAACAGGTCCCATATGAGGAGAGATAAAAAGAGACTGGAACTTTTCAGCTTAGAAAAGAGGAGACTAAGGGGGGATATGACAGAGGTATATAAAATCATGAGTGGTGTGGAAAAAGGAATAAGAAAAAAATATTTACTTGTTCCCATAATATAAGAACTAGGGGCCACCAAATGAAACTAGTGGGCAGCAGGTTTAAAACATATAAAAGGAAGTTCTTCTTCACACAGCGCATAGTCAATCTGTGGAACTCCTTGCTGGAGGAGGTTGTGAAGGATAGGACTATAATAGGATTTAAAAGAGAACTAGATAAATTCATGGAGGCTAAGTCCATAAATGGCTTTTAGCCAATATGGGTAAGGAATGGTGTCCCTAGCTTCTGTTTGTCAGAGGGTGGAGATGGATGGCAGGAGAGAGATCGCTTGATCATTACCTGTTCGATTCACTCCCTCTGGAACACCTAGCATTTGCCACTGTCGGCAGACAGTGTACTGTGTTGCATGGACCTTTGGTCTGACCCAGTATGGCCATTCTTATGTTCTTATGAGTTCTTGCTCTTTCAATAATTCATATAATTTAATAATATGTTTTAGTTATTTGCTCAAAGACCCACAGTTAATAATACAGCTTGATTCAGATTTATTGACAGCTTGCAATATATTGTATGCTTTGTCTCTATTGATGTGATATAATATTTGAAGTATTTAATTTACAATAATGGGTCCTGAACCCTCACAACTCCATAAAATTTGAGGATGCTTAGCAACTTGAAAAAGATAGTCAGCAACTCAGAATAAGGCCCAAAATTTGCAGAATTGGGATTGATGATTTTATGTAATTTTAAAAAAATGTATATATTATTAAAATAAGCAAAATGGCATTTCTGTCTGGGTACTCCGGAAATAACAACAGAGTTTTGAATGAATGAAGTTAGAAGGGGAACTTGAAATTTGTGAACTGGACATCTAGACATCTGAACATCTGTGTTCTTTAAGGTCCAAAATCTCATACTCATTAATTAATGAGAAGTACCACCAATAGCCCCACTGATTCCAAGGGAATACTTGTGGAGTAAGGTAATGCTTAAGGACAGATGAAATGTGCATGTGTATACATCTCAAGAATGCTCACTTTTGAAAATGAATGGTTCAGAGACAGCAACAGTTGTGTTAACCTGCATCATATTAACATTCTTAGCATCTAAACATTTAATCTCCCAGGTTGTATGTGATTTTTAAAAAGCTTAATTCCAGTGTCTCTTGTGGTTTAAATCTATATCAAATCTCAAAAAAAAAAATTAATATAAGACTTTCAATCAATTGACCATGCAAAAAAAAAAAAATCTCCAACCACCACAAACACATAGGAACACATGGTCCTTGACCTACTCTTATTGCTGAAAGTTACCCTAAGCAGTGGAGTGGTTAATTTTTACCAATAATCCACATGTTACAAATAAAAGTAATACAAGTAGAGAACCACGAAACACAGCATCTTCATGGTCTAGATGCAATTATGAATTGCCTAAGTATTAATCTGTCGGCTTCTAATAATATCTGAGCTTCTTGGCTGATTTCTAATGTGGTAATCTCTTCATTCCCTATTCGTTATTTTATTTGCAATATGGCATGTGCTAAAAAGAACACAACCATAATTAGTGTCCCCCCTCAAACAAACCAGGCAGTGCTAGATGACTGCCATTGTATTTTTCTAGTAACAATTAAATACTGCACTATAACCCCTGATTTTTTAATACACAACCCCATATTTATGACTGGAAGTAATTAGCCTCAAGTAGTAAATATTCAAAATAAACCAGTAATTAACTAGTGTATTTAAATGCCTAATTTCAAGACTAGTCTATTTCATAGTTTGTAGGAATCTTCACATTTTTTAAATTCAAAATTAAAGTGATTATAAATGTACTGTGACTCAGAAGCAGTTTTCAATACCTAGGAAGGAACACAGGACATGTTCCATTAAGTGTAAATGGAGCAGACAATTTTTCTAATTAATACAGATTATATGTGAGTGACAACCCAAGAGCCTTCATGGATGAACTAATATTCTGTGTCTTTATTCATGAATCTTTTGGGTGCATGGTTCATGTGGGCAAGAAAATCCAAACATCTCTGGGGCCACAGATGAGAAAAATTTCATTAAATAGCTGTCACTAGACTGTCTGGAAAACAAGAATTCCAGTTTGTGAAAAAATGTGCGGTTTTGACATTTGGTTCCATTCTGAAGCAGACCAAAACCAAGGCTTGCTTTTGCTGAGATAGAGAAGACCTAGAATCTCAAAGTGGTTGAGGCTAGATGAGTACACTTAATACTGGGCTCTTTTGGGATCTCTCTTTCTCTCTTCTGCTTGTCCTGAATGTGAAAAACTCTTGTCACACCAAATACATTCTGAAAAAAGGGTGCTTCAATGAATTGGCATTTAGTAACAAACACAAATTGTCAAGAGTTCCAAACCAGCTTTAGTTACCCCATATTTTGGAAAAATTAAGATATTAAAATTCCTTTTTTATTGCTGCATTTCTGCATTTCCTTTTCAATAATTTCTCATTATTTAAGGACTGGAGGTTTTCCTGTGTAACTAGCATTTACTGTATGCCTTATTTAAGGCAAAAAGCAGATGGAACTATCTGCAGCATAAAATAGTGAGGATGGGGAAGGAATCCTTCCAGGTTTATTCAAACTATTACCTGTGATGAGGTCTCTCTCTTCTTACTTGTATTACTAAGAGCAGAGGGGATGTTGGGAGTACAGGTAGGCAGTCCTTTTACAAGATCCAAGATTGCAACCAAATTACAACCTATAATGTTGTAGAGATCCATAAGATATGCAATGATGGATGGGGCAGTGCTGGCCAACATTCAGTGACTAAAGTGTTTATACTCAGATAGCTAGAGGGTGCTTTGCAGGGAGCGAGGGAAGCCAATGGGAGAAGGTGTTGAAATTTGAATTGGAAGATATAGCTGTCTGCTGGTTTTTTTTGTGTGAGTTTTAAGTCACGAGTTGGAGGAACATGATGAATTGAACCAGGCAGAACTATCAAGCCTACAATAAATACTGGGCATGGAAATGGACTGGACTTTAAAGCACAAATCTGAGAGTCGATAGGGAATGAAATGTCTATTTAGACACAATCAGGTTACTTCCTTTGCTTTGTTGTTTGGTTAAACTTCTTGGTGCTAAATCCATGCGTCTCCCCCGCCCCATACACTGTATTAAACTGAATCCCAGAGATACAATTCTCTGTGTTTTAATCTTTTCTTTTCTCAGTTGTTTTATAACACCTAGCAACCTAGCATGCTTTACTAAGTATATCTTTTTGTTTTGTTAATAAAATCACACTTTTAAGGCTATGATTTGTGTCTTGTGTCCTGGAAGGTAATAGGAGATCTGTGCGTGTATGCTTAAGACTGAGAAGTTAGCTATCAGAGACTGCAGTTTGTTTTCTCGTCTTTTTCTTTCAAGCTCTCTTGTGGCAAAAGAACTTGGGGTACTTCTCTGGAATAAGTTCAAGTGCTTTCTTCCTAGGTACAAGAAGAAAGGGGTTTTCGCTTGGTGGAAGCAGCCTCCCAAGCCAGGGAATCTGTAACCTTAGGCAGAAGCCTATAGAGGCAAGGTATTTTTAAGGTCTCTTGTGGGCCCTCATCTTTTGCACTGGGAGTGCCAGAGTGAGGAACAGCCTTAAAATATGTACAGCAAGATTTTTACCTCTTCTCTTGTGTGAGATCTGGGACAGCAATGCACTTCAAACAGTTATCAAGGAGAGTGTAAAACTGGAATAAAGTTTTAACTATTCAAGCTAGCTTTCACTACACACTTCTTACCCTGATTTATCATTTTATAACTTAAGAAAACAACAAATAGTCTGATAGCACTTTATAGACAAACAAAACATGTAGATGTTATCATGAGCTTTCGTGGGCACAGATCATTTCTTCAGATGACCGGTCATCTGAAGAAGTGGGCTGTGCCCACGAATGCTCATGATACCATCTACATGTTTTGCTAGTCTATAAAGTGCTACCAGACTATTTGTTGGGTTTTTTTTAGTTTATCCTGTACAGACTAACTCGGCTACCCCCTGAAGCTTCTTGTTATTTTATGTTCACCCAGCTACTGACTGTTCCCCTCCAAGTGCAGCACCTCCATTATCCCCTCAATCATGTTAGGCCTCCAATTCTCCCTGTCATAAGTTAAACCCATATATAAACTGTTTAATTTAAAAAATAGCTAATGCCTAAAAATAATAGCCTCAAGGTCAATGTACAGTATGCCACTTACAAAAACAAAACAAATCAGCAATACCTCTGAACATAACAGTTACAAAGTACAAGGTTTTATAAGAGAGACATCAACATAGCATCGTCAGTATTACACATCAAAACTTACGGGCAAAGCTCTACTTCCAGATAGTTTTCAGTCTCACTATTCAGAAAAAAAGATTCAACAACTGTAAAATAATAAAAAAAAACACATACAGAAAAGATGAATGAATGAATAAAGAAAATATGTACAGTACTAGAGAAAAGAAACAAACTCCGCATGAATCTGTAATATGCCCCTGCAAGCAGAATGTTAAGTATTGATTAGGAGGTTAAAAGTAACCAACCTGGAAATAAGGGGAAGCTGTCAGCATGATTAACTGCCAGGGGCTACCATAAGGATTAAATCCACAGGTAAGCCGCATGTCCTCTTAATTATTATTTTATTCATTTTTAAGATGTTTCAGGTGTTGCAGAGTTGAGAGGATAGAGAATGTCTCAATATTGTGTTACATTCTTATATAGTCATGAATATTTTTCCCCGAGGGACAAATACAAATACTCTGTGTGGTGGAATCTCTAGACATGCACACTCTGTAGTTAAAAACTAATATACTTGAAAGGGGACAGATTTGGTACTGAACAAATAAGGTAGACTGATCTGCTTTCACATTACCCCTGAAGAGACCAGAATTCCAAAAGGTTTGATTTGATTTTTAGTGAAAATTCTGATTGTTTATCATGCAGGGGAAGATTGGTTCAGAATACTCTTTTGTTTCTGCATTGCAGCATTGTACTTTGTAATAGATAAATTATCCAAAATATGAAAGAATGCTACTGTTCAAACTGGGAGACATTTTTTAAAAGGAAGTTTTCTGGAGGGAAAATTGCCTTATTTAAAAATGTAGTTTTGTTTACAAATTCTTAATACCTTCAGAACCTTCCATTTTTTTCAAAATTTGGGGGATATTTTATTCAATTATATTATCAAAAATCATTAAACCTTGTTCTTAACTAAATATGTAATTTGTGTTAAACGGAAATGTTTGTAAGATGCAGGTTTCAGTAAATAAAAGCATTCAATTTCAAATGCTATTTTGATGAAAACCTGACACACAAACATTCACAAACAAAAACTGCCCCATTTAAAACTCTACAAAATGGAAGAGTTCAAAGTTTCTCACTAAATTGTTTCTTTTTCCATCAGCTTGAGTGAGCATATCTATATATATTTAAGTAATATTAAGTGTTTGAGATATTGCAAACTTTAGCTGTCTAAAAACTGATATTCCAATGTATCTTTTATGTACATCTATCCTCAAATTGCTCCTAAAATACAACTATTTTATATGATTAATTTTAGTGATTCTTCTCATACATACAGAACATGATACGTAACTCAGACTCTTAATTTGTTAACCAAATATTTTTCATCTCTTTACACAACTGATCAATATGCACCAGGAAAAGGAGAAGGAGTCATTGAGATAGCTTTGTTCTCTTTCAACCTCAGATACAGAAGTCATTTTACCTACTCAACCAAAAAATTAAGTGCATCCTTATGATCTGTGAGGCAAAAGACAAGAGAAACTTAGGACTCCTAATGATTCACAGATCTCCAGATGGAAACCCATTCAGCTTCTTGGAGGAACTTTTAAAGCTACTGTCCAGAATGGAATTGGAATCCCCCCAGCTTGCTTGTCCTTACTGACTTAACCACCACATAGACAACGTACTTGATCTCATGGCCTACATGGAAACCATGGGATTATCCCAGGCAGCCTCTAAATCAACATGTGCAAATGGACATACTATGGATCCTATCTTGAGCTCAGGTGTGTATACTTGAGACATCAACATACCACATTCCTGGTTTGAGCATAACCTCATCCAGGTGAGACCATAAACTTTCTCTTCTTCCCACCATGATAGTGAGCAACCTTGATGAACCTGCAGAGGGCAATATCCTTTTCTGGACATTCCAGCCATTCAGTTAACAAAAATATTTCTCAGTAGTTAAGTCTTGGGACCTACTCCTAATTGTCTTGTTGGCGAGGGTTAAAGCCATAGACAGTGGGTCCTAGAGAGTTCACAGGAATGCTAGGTAAACAGGAAGTGAGTTGTCAGAAGGCCAGGAGAACCATAGAATCATATGGTTTTGAACTGAAATCAGTGGCAATCCTTTTCCTGCTATTGTGTAACCAGAACAGATGGAAGGATATGAATTAAGCAAGGAAGCCATGCATGAAGTATCCAGCAACATC